TTTTTTTTTTTTTTTTTTAATAAACAGTTATCTCATTATTGCATTCTCCCACACATGAATGTCTGAAGCACATAATAATTTGAAATTATCATCAATGTAGCAGTCCCAAGTGAAAAAAGCCTACAGCAAGTTTATGATGTGGTTCAATCTAGTCATTGATTTCTGGACCTACTGTAGCCCTTCAGGGCAAATCACAAAGCCAAGTTATCTTGGAGAGACGGCTTTTATATCTGGATTTCTGAATGAGGTGGAAAAAGTGCTTTAAATCCTTCATATGATCTGACTCAAAAATCTGCCTTTTTCTATTGAGGGTAATGGTATATGTCACTTGCAAGCAGATGATTCTGATACACTGGGAACTGAGGTATCAGAAGACCATATAAATAGACTAGTTATCAGGAATGGTCTTAGATACTTGAAGTTGATGAAATAGAATATAATGAATTAGGATGTGCTCAACCCTACTCTCAGCTTGCCAAAAGACATTTCTTTGGGGTTATTTCCCTCTAGGCAGAGTTGCAGGGCCACACAATTTATTGACTTCAATGCTTGCTCTTGAACTTGCAGACACAGAAATGTAGTCTGCCAGGTAATGCTAGTATTACCTGTCTCTCATCTGGATTCAGTCTGAGGAGACTGTAAAGTATTTCTCACTAACAAGGGAATTATTATTCCCAGATTTTGATGTGGAACTGAAACTGCAAGATATGAATTGATATGCCAAACTCACCTTAACACACCCTGGAAAATAATTTTGGATCATAGACCAGTGCTGAAATTTTGGTAGCCAAGTATTATGTACCCCAAGTGCGAACAAAGTGTTACCTGAGACTGGAACAGTGTTAGGTTGTTGATTATTTTTGTTCTGGCTGAAATTCCCAATCATATTTCTCTTCTGGTAACTTTCGAGTTTGGAAAGGCTATTTGCAGTGGAAACTGTTTCCAGAAGACATAACTTCTTGTCATACCTGAAGAGCTAGGGAAAATGACTGAGTAGTGCACTGCTTTTCTTCCTCTGTGCTTTAACAGCTTCACTTGCAGAAGAGGACTGATTATTCTGATTGACTTCTGTACTTTGAGAACCTTAGCTACATTTTATATGTTTATGTAGTTATTTTCCTGCTGTTCCTAATCCTCTGGCACAAACTATGAGATGGAAATTAAACAAGAAAATAATATATGAATTTGTTTTCCTTAACTGTGCAAAGGTTTATTATGCACTTTCAGTTGACATATGGACTTCATCCTTTTGTTCAAAGTGGAGAAAAATAATTCCCTCAATCGAATTGCTAAGAGACACACACACTGCACTCTGTCCTCAGTTACAGGTACTGTAGTGAAACTCTGGCTTAATGCTTTTCTTGCTTTTCTGTTCTGGAGAATACATGCTATGATCAGAGTTGCCGAAAGAGAGATCATGTGCATTACAAATATATTAAAAAATATGTCAGTTTTCTAAAGTTTAATACAAAGGGAATTTAAACTCTTTTTTTTTTTTTTTTTTTTTTTTTTTTTTAAGGTTTTGGACATTCATTAATTATTTATCTCAACACCTATTAAGAATTTTTTCTCATCAGTTTTATCAGTCTGTTTTCCTTACTTCAATGGATTCAAGGGGGAACAGAGAAGCCCAAACGCTGGAAAAGTGAAAAATTGTTTTACTTGACAAATCCAAAAGATTGTAAAATGAAAAATGTACAAGAAATAATTTATTTCCGGGGACAGAGTAATTTTTCATGCTAAGAAGTTTTACATAAAACTTTGACTTGCTCTAACAATGCCTAAAGCACTGAAACCCATCCCCCCAAGTCACAGCACAGAGCCCTGCAGTATCATTTCTGCAGGATAATTAGCATTCTGCATAACAGAAGCCAGAGCAGTGAGGTCAGGTTTCAAAGTGGGAAGCAAGGGTAGGCCCCTGAAATTGTGTATATGGGTTAGCTGCAACCAGCTTGGCAAGCCATACAGTTCTGTTATTCTTTTAACCCTTTACTGATAGATGTATTTAGCACAGTGCAGAGATAAAGACACCATTTCTGAACAGAATGTAATACATACCTTGTCTGTTCCCACTGGTTTCCAAACACTGTATCAGATCTGTCACTAATGGTCAAGTAGACATATAAGAAGAGTCTGTACTCTGTGTATATGTAAGTGTAGATTTCTGTATTTATTTTACGATACTTTTATTTTCCTTTTTAACTCTTAAGAAACACGTATCTTTTCAAATGGGCTTGCTTTTGCTACAAAATGGGCTTGTTCCTGGAGTCTCTCTGCTGCTGTAATATTCTCATGCTCTTCCCTGGCAGAAAGTATGTGTTAATCATTATCAGCATTAGAAAAGAAAGATGTTTTAATGTTAATGTAACAACTTCCACTTATGGTAAGACATATTCCATTACTCATTCCACAACAGATGTCGTTTGTGACCACTTTGGTCAGGACTTGTAGAAGTCTACTGAAGCAGCAAACACATGTAAAAGACTTTCTTCTTCTCCCAGAGCCTGTGAAGCTAAGCAGAACACAAACAATTGAAGGATTTCTATTAAAATGTATGTGTTATGGACAGCACAACCCTTTGGATAGTGTTGCACTGGGGAGTGAGGTACTTGAGACTTCTCCGCCTGAGCTCTGAAGTCAGGGTGCAGCCTGGAGTGAGCATTTTCACCTTTTGCAGTACTTCCAGATGGTGAAACAGTATGGAGTGAGTTGGGAAAAGAGGGTTAGTTTCCTAGTGTGACATTTGTTATGCATTCTCTTGGCCACTTCCTAACCCATTAGCAGTTTTGGTTTGGACTGCAAAAGCTTGTAGTTAGCAGAGAAAATCTGCTGATAATCAGTGTGCTTTCAAGAGATATATTCCTAGAAGAAGCAGTGGCAGGGGAGGGGGTGTGGGGCACATTGCAAATGAATGTCAGTGTCTCTGCTAGAGTTGCACAAAATTAACAGAAATTAGATCTCTAGCTACTGAAGAGAATCTTCTGTACTGAGATAGCTATTAAAATAGAACAATCAGAGATTATGGTACATGAGAGCCTTTTTAATTGTTAATTTGCCCACTTCAAAATGACCATACAGTGAAATCAGTGTCTTTTAAAATAACATTGTTTTCCTTAAAATTGGTTTCCCTTTTCAGCATTATCTTTCTGAGAGGACTGTGGTGATATTGTTGGGAATTATCTATCCCACACTGAGGGAGCCTATCTGAAGCTAACACAGTCCCTGCAAAGTGCAAGTATAATTAACCATTCTCCTCCCCCTATTTATCTTGATTTCTGCTTCCATCTAGTTGTTTTTCATGCTTGTAAAGTATAATTTGAATAAAGTTTTAGCACTTTCTTCCTACACAACCTCTCGCTCTCCATTCCCTCCCTCCATAACACTGCAGTGATCGGAGTGTGAATTATCTCAGAGTAAGGGTGGGTGAACTGTTCTGCCTGAGCTCAGCAGCACTGAAGACAATGGAGCACAGCGTCAGCGATTGACACAATTCTTTCTTATACAGACATTTTGTATGCTAATGAACCTCTGATGGCAAGACCAGACTTTTTTTTTGCTGCTAATTCTGGCAATATCTATCTCTGATGGGAACCTAATTTCTACCCACAAGGATTTTCAGAGTAAAAGAGTGAGAAAAGAATGAAGCTCAGTATTGATGCAACTCTCCACTTGGCTTCACTCCTGTGTTTTGCCCACTGTCAGGAAAATAGAGCCTCTAGACCAAAGCAATTGGCATCTGGTATTTCCTTTCAAGTGCTTCTATATGAGCCAGTCTCCTTTCACTACCGGATTCCTTGCAGAAGCCTCTCTTTAAAGCAGTCACTGCTTCCTCACTAATTAGCCCACAAGACACAGCTGCATAGCCAAGAAACATTGATCTAATAGGTTTAAGTGGTGATGGTCAAGACTGAGCAGCTACCATGACATGTCAGCATTGGAAGACAAATAAGAAGGGGCTTTGTTGCACTTTTTTTTTTTTTTTTTTTTTTTTTGAGTGTGTATGTGTGCTTTATGGAATGTAAAACGAAAAAAACACAGAGGAACTGCAAGAATCAGATAACTGTATTTACTCACTCAGTATCACATGCAAAGCATGACTGCTGAATAGCTTTGTGGAAGGTTGAACACTCAGAGCAATTGTTCCCAGACTGCTCTTAGCTTGAAATCCATGGCTTTCATTTCAGACCCGAAGAAGGGCTTATGAGAGCCATAGTTTGTCTGTTTTTACCAACTAGGTCAGCGGGTTTAATTAGAGACGCTGCATCTCTCTCTACAGCTTACTTCCCAAGGCTACTCAACTATTTGAATAGATAATCCCAATTCCTAATAATTACAGCTGCAATATTATATATTTTGCAGAGATAACTCTTTCAACTGAAAATTTAGAAGCTGCCAGTTACATCTTCTTGTATTAGTACTCTGTCATAAGGCACAGGCTGACTTATCTGTTGTTCTCTTCCCCTCCTGTCTGCCACACACAGCTTTTCCTAGCACCACTGAGGTGTTAGTCTATGGAGGTGTGATTCTACACCAAACCAGCCTGGCTGGTGGGACCATGGTGGGGATTCATATATTTTTGTTTTAAAAACAGGTTGTGGCAGTTGAACTGGTGGCTCAACATCTGCAGGTGCAAGTTAATCTGATATTAGCCAGGTTTCAGCTGATTTAATAATGTTCACACCCAAAGCTGGTTTAATTAACTTGGATTTAGAAGAGGCGTAAGAGAGGACATGTCAGTTTGGTGATTAATCAAAGGAGAAAGAGCCAGCAGCTCTATCTCGCCTCCATTTCAGGCTCTCCAATAGATTAGCAATGTGACCTTGGGCAGATCTCCTGGCATGTTTTTTGCTTTGCTTTCTTCAGACTGGATATAATCAATTTCTCAGAATAGATGCAATACTGAACTCACAGGCATCTGTGAAACTTAATTCCCTGCATGCGGAAAGCGTTTTGGCAGCTGCTGGGGAGTGCAGCTCTGCAGGGAAGGGGCAGGGCCTGCCTTCTGCCTGTGTCAGTGGCTCACAGAGTGCTCACCACCAGGAGTCATAGGTGCTGCTGTCCCTCACAGTGATGCTATCTTGCACTGACTCTAAATTACAAAGGGCATGTGAGTACCAAGCTGGCTTGGATGCTCCTATCCAGCAATTTAGTCTCCATTTGCAAATATGGATGGAAAATCCACCCAATTGTTTTTGTTTTGCTTTGTTTAGGAATGGGTGTAAAAGATCCTCATCAGGAAAGCCTGTTTTGCCCTGTTTTGCCTTTGTATGCGGAACGTCTGTAATAAGATGCCTAGAAATTCCAGTGAACAAAGGTGAAGAAATCATTGCTGCCCATACCTCTGCTGGCAGAGCACCTTCTGTTGAAGACCTGCCTCCACAGGCTGCTCTGTGTGTTCTTGTTGACTTTTTGGCCAACACCATGTAGCCATCTGCTGTTCTTCTTGGCTGATCCAGCATTGCTGCTAACTGTTTCCAGTCAGTCCATCACAGAAAATGTGAAAGTCCTTAGTAGCTTCCTGCTCATCTGTGCTCTGGTGCAGCTTTGCTAGGTGCTCCTGTGCATGCAAAACATTTTTATTGTTGTTTATTGTTATTCTGGCTAATGCTTTTTGGTTTGTTTCTCTCAGACAAACCATGTCTTAAAAGTAATGGAAGAGACCTAGAAGATGAGTATAATTGCCATAGTTTTCTAAAGGTTATATTTTGGTGCACTTGAGTACTGTGTCATCAGTCTTGCTTCGAAAAATCAGAAGGAATTCAGGAAAGCTGCAATGCCCTTTTTTTTTTTTTTCTCTCCCAATGCCTTAGAACAGACAGTAGTAAGAGAGTCAATGTTCCTAATTGTCCACACTGATCTAACATGAATTTCTTGATCAGAAATTCTCAATAAATCAGATATTCCAGCCTTGAACGGGGGCACTCAAAAAAGGTGGGAAGTGAGAAATCCAAGATATAACTCTCAGCCCGCTTACAGATTTATTTAATATTTGGGAGCTTGCACACTATTAACTAATCAAGAAAAAATCAGTGCTTGGGGTAAAGAGCAGGCCTTCTAAAATAAGAATTTGGCATCATTTGAAGGGCAAACACTTGACACTCAACGTGAACTTAAGCAGGAACTGACTTTCAAAGAGAAATACGTCTGTCACTTTTAAGTCTACACACATATTCTCTTCAATATTTGGGATTCCAAGCTCTTTGAAGGTAGTCTCTTCACTTCCCCGCAAAGCACTTTTTTGTTCACCTTTGCAGTAATTTTCTCTCTTCTCTCCCCTCCTGCCCCCAGTCCCCTTAATGTTACAAAAGAATTTGCTTCTGGGATGAGATTTTCTTGCTGAGTTTCATCCCCAAATTATATTTTACAGATGACTTTGAAATTCCCTGTAAGTGTGCTCTCATTATTGGATGTCTTTGATACAACTTTAAATGCAGCTGTGCAGACATTGCCACTATTAGTGCTAGGAAAATATAGAACTTACATAGCGAGAGGAATGGTCAGAGCCAAAAAAGCTTGTAATAGATAAAAGTAGCAATGTGTTTCAGATATGGGACCCTGGCCTTGTAAACATTGCAAAGCTCTCTGAATTAGTCACTTCACACAGTATTCTTAGGGGACTTTTAATCAGACCATGTTGTGCAGTGGCTCATCCTGAATGTATTTAGCCTGGGGATTTTTACCCTGATCTATGTTTTCGTCTTTTTTTTTTTTTTTTTTTTTTCTTTTGTCTCCTGGAGATTAGTACAGTAAAAAAAGAACAGAGACATAGCTAGAGTGGGCTAATCAAGGCTGATTGGGCTGAACAAGAGGCATGCTTAAAGGATGTTGACTGTAAACTATTGCAAACCACATACATTTTTCAGCAGATTGGAGGACCAGTTCTCAATGCTGAAGGAAAGTATTGACCATGCAAAGAAAGTGTAGATAATTTGAATGAAAGTAGAAAATCCCCATCACTAATGCTTCTTCCAACAAATCCAGCCCTTTTTGGGCTTTACAGATGTCTCCAAAACCTCTTCCCGAGGGGCTAAGTTAGCAGGCTGAACTTACTCAGCTGACAAACCTACTGCCCTAAAAGATCTACACCACAGCAGAGAGCGACTCATGATGCCTCATGTTTGCAGACGGCAGCCAAACCCGTCCTGAGATTTGAAAAACTGTCCTGTTTGCTTGGGGCAGGAATGCACCAGTAGAGACCACTGGTGGTTCTACTCTCCCTGTGGCAGCTCTTGACAAACTGCTTTGCCCAGGACTGGAAAAAGTTGCTGAAGTGGTGGATGAGCAGTTTCACAAACCCGGGAGAGTACTGCCAGAGCTTTTGTTTGTCACCTCAGTTCTTCTTCAGAATGAAAATCGGTGGGATTTTTGTTCACATTTCTCACTATTTTGATGTCTCCTTGTGTAACAAGCATGTTGAGATCATGGTCCTGGCATGAAGAAGAAAATGACTCCTAAAATGGTTTGTGATTGGGTTTTAAAATAAGAGATTTATACATACCAGGCTGGAAGTTGCTGTGGTATGCATGTGCAAAAGAATCTGTCCAAAATTGGGAATTCCTTTGAATGAAGTTCTTCCTGGCTGACTTACTCAGTCAACAGAGTATATACTGTACATTCTCAGTGAGCAGGAGGAGCTAAGTGTTTCTGACATCTTCCTGCTGTGCCATTTTGAGAACTGGTATTCATGTAGCATGTACTCTGAATCTCTTAGTGTCAAACCACTGTTCTCAGTATTTCTGAAATCATCATGCTGTGTTGTTTTGAGAAGAGGTATTCACGTACCACAGATCTCTTAGTGCTGAGCCGTTGCTTTGCAGTGTCAGAGGTGGCAGACTGAAGCAGACAGCAATATGACCAGCACTGGTGGAGAATGCTATTAAAACTCATCAGAAAGAGGACAAACGGGTCCTTACTGAGATATTATTTTGTCATTTGGGATGCACATGGATTAACAGAGAGATGATCCTGTCTTAATAATATGATGTTTTTATTTTTAGACATAGGCACAAAGACCTGGCAAGAGGAAGCTGGGGATGTAACTTACACAGGTTTCATGATGCTTTTGTGGCAGCAACAAACACATAAAAGGCTTGTATGGTATTGGCAGTATGGTTAAGGGGTGACACATCTGAATGAATTAAGAAATGGCTTCAGCATAGAGATGGTAATATTTTGGGTGTAAGCTGAAGGGAGGAGCAGAGAATTGCAAAGATGAGAACTGAGTCTAGATTTGTTCCTCTTATTCATACTATTAGTCTGAGGCCATAAAAATGCTGTAGAGCAAAAATATTTGCAGATAATGCAGAAAAAGGGATCGCTGCCAAAGTAAAGAAGCTACATGTGTATATGGGAAGATGAATGACCTAGATAGAGTAATGAGGAGCTGGACAAAACAGAGGACCAGATTCTGAAAGATCATACTGTACAAAAATGCAGTTCAGGAAAATGTATTTCATGGATAACAGTGAGAACAAATTTGAGGCAGAAGGATTAAAATTGGTGCATACGCACACAGAAATTTACAGAAACCTTTGCAAATTGTAAGTAAATACTGGATTTAAGTATTAAGAAATTACCTTCCTTTAGAACTGCAGAGACCTTATTTGTACCATCATCCTCCTTTCTGATCACCTGATTATAAGGAATTATTATAGAGATGGGTAAAGATGCATCAAGAGCAAGCAGAATAATAGAGGGATTTGGAGATACTGGTTGTACCAGATAAACCAAAGAAGTTAGGGCTGCACTCTGTGAAAGAGAAGACTGTGAGGTGAGATCATTTTGCTCTGTGAAGTTCTTGGGGGAATAGGAAGAACTATTGACGCCAGACAATCTGAATTTGTGTCATCTTGAAAAAGAAGAAGGCACAAATTAAAATTTTGCATTATATAGGGGGAGTTTCTGCAAGGAATTTAGTTTAGAATTCCTTTGTGCAGGGAGCAGATAATATACAAGATGCTGAAAAATACTCTGTACTATACAGAAAGCCCAATGGGAACACAAATTTTTACTGCTATATCTCCCAAAGCCACATCTTTGTCTGAAGAGTGCTTTAAAGACAGCACCATTCTTCTACAGAATACAGGAGAGGGCCATAAGAAAAAATAACCTATCTCATCCTCATGAGAATACTCAAAGTGTTTCTCTTGGATTATTGGTAGCATTTTCAGAAAGACTGGATGTCTGAAACCTTGTGAAAATTTCAGCTCTGAAGGAATTGTTTCCTGGAAGAATCAGTGAAGTAGCTTTGAAATTACACAGCACTGGTTCTTAAATTGTGAGACCCCTTTGGGATGTAGGACTGAGAAGACTGAATTTCTGCTTTGACACAGTTTTTACAAGTTTTAAAGGATTAATAATACTGCTGCAGTGGAGATAAAAGGCATATGGCAAAGTCTGTAAGACACAAATGAAATGTGTCACTATTTGAATGAGACTAAAAAAATTATTCAGATGGCATACAAGAAAAATATTTATTGGGGATAGACCTGCTGGTGCAATGTGGAGATGAATATACCTGTCTCTCTGGCACTTGGAAGGGAGGTAGATGAAAGTCTGAAGTTTAATAAGAGGAAACTTCTGACTGCCTCCACCTCTCATTTGCTTCCTTCACTCTCCCATGAGTTAAGTGAAATAAATCTACAAGGTATTGCTTTACTGAGTATAAACAGATTCTTAACTTTTTTCTCTACTAAATTGTGTCGAGAATTTTGTATGCAAGGCAAACACTTGTAAAAAGCTCCAATTCAAAGAAATGTGTTTGGCTTCTGTTCTGCCCCTTTTCATTAAGGGCTTAGTGGACTTCCAGTATCTGAAGGACTCCTTGACCTGTCTGTGACATCTGCTAGCATATTGCATCTCAGTCCTACACACTAACTGCTTGCAAGACACCCTAAATTCAAACCTCACAAGCAGAGCTGCAGTTGTAAATTAGTCTTTCATACCAAATATAAAAGAACTAACCCCATTATTGTGCACATCCAAAAAAGTAGGCTGTAACCCTTTTATGTTTATGAGTTGACTTCCTCCTTTTCCTTCAGAGTGAACACACTATTGGGCATCACTTGCTGATGCCAAATGATTTAAATGCACACAAGAAGACAAACAGAAAGGAACCTAATCCTGTCGTTCACAACACAGAATATATACTGCCATACAGTGAATTTTTTTTACATAGGTAATTAATAATAGAGGAACAATGTAGTGACAGTCTGAGTCCCAGGGGAGAAAATTGTCAGCCTATTTATTCATTTATTCTTTTTTAACTAAATTGATGGGATAGTCTGATGCCTTTCTGGATTCCACACAGCTGATGAAACTGCAAAGAAATTTCATTTAAATAACAGGCAAATGTTCCAATTAGTCAAAGCCTAATTCTTCTGCCTTGAAATGATGAATGGCATGTACTATGGCCTCTGCCAGTCTGAAGGGGTAAAAGCTGCCCACCAAGAGCCCAAAGACATTGATGTGAACATTTTGGACATGGGTTCAAATACCTTAATCCGTTTTGATTTGCCAAGAGTCTACAACTGTCTTGTTAAATGAGATATCACTAATTCTATCATATAAACTCATCTTTAAGCTATTAGGGAGTTTGAGGGAACTAAAATACAGTTCTTGGGAGAATAGAGAGAATAGCACTCAATTTTACTGCCTAATGAATGATTATGTTCAGTGTTCTGTGTGGTGTACACTCACAGAAATTTCATCCTGCATGG